CTTAAGTAGAAAAATGGGAGGGTTATATAGTGGGAGAAAGAGAAAGGTGAGTGATATATTAGCTTGTAAATTAATCTGTTAGTAATGTCCAAATTATCTTCTTAGGCTTCTTCTGTGTGCAGTCAAACTTCTTTCTTCAAACCGGTTAAAGGTGTTATCTATGTTAATGTATTAGTAGTGTTCTTCTGATGCTCTGTTATTAAAGTTTCCTCATGGCGTATTCAGAACCGTTCCTTCGCGTGCTGGCTTTTTTTAAAGTTTCCAATTTCCTGGAGGAGCTTCTTCTGTTTCCCTCTCTCCGGCTTTTCCAATCCTCCTTCGGGTCGCTGTTAACGCTTTCAGTTCATATGCTGTCAATCCTCACTCTTTCATGCCTTTTCAAAAGATTTCTGGCTTTGAGAATGGTTTTTTAATTCTGGTTTCGCTTTTAAACGCTCCCATTCTCTTCGCTGGATCTTCCTCCACAACTGTTGACTTTTAAAAGCGCTTAAAAGACACTTTCTCGCTGTCACAGTTCAACTTTTCTAACAGTTCCCGTCAGATTCACAGCCATAAACAATCCAAACATTACTCAGCCGGCTCTCACGCAAAAACAAACGCCCAGACCGGAAGTTCCTCCCTTCTTCTCCGCTTGTCTTTTAGCCCAGCTCCGACATCTTGTTATTTTTGTTTACTTTTAATAAAGTTCCTAAAACGCGCTCCAAAGAAACAGAAATCTTGCTTTTCTCCAAATGCATCAAAAGAAGTCACTACTATTCGCACAGTCCATTCCCCCCCCTTTTTTTCTTGCTTACAAAGTTAGAGGATTAACCTCCTCGTCTTTTCCGCGGGGGGGGGGAGCGCTCTTAATTCTTTTTCTCCGCATTTTGACAACTCACAGTTTAGCCGATCTTTTCTTTTTTCATTTTATCGTTGCTCGCTTTATCACTCGGTGACGTCTGGTGGCTCCGCTAAACCCTGTGTCGGGGTCGCTCACGCAGCAAGGTCCATTGGGGCAGGGCATGGCGAGGGCCTCAATTTCCAACCGTTCGGCCGAGAAAGAGGCTCCCCCCTGGAACACCCTAACGTGCCCCGGATCCGAGCAATTCTTGTCCCATCCTCTGAATCTCTTTCCACACTCTGAGCACTCAAAAGGTTTCTCCCCTGTGTGGGTTCTCTGATGGTGCTGACGATGGGCACTCCGACTGAATGTCTTTCCATACTCTGAGCACTCAAAAGGTTTCTCCCCTGTGTGGGTGTTGAAGGTGGCCACTCTGACTGAATCTCTTTCCACACTCCGGGCACTCAAAAAGTTTCTCCCCTGTGTGGGTTCTTCGATGCTTCTGAAGACTGCCACGATCACTGAATCTCTTTCCACACTCTGAAACACTCACAGGTTTGCTCCCCTGCAATGCTCCCCCCAAGCTGTGGAGCCTTGTGAGCAAAAATTCTACTTTGAGAGCTACTAGCATTAAAGCTGTGATCGAGCAATTTGGCTGCTGCATAAATGAGTTTGCTCTGGAGCCATCCTTCCCGAGACGAAAATGTGTGAGCCGGAAGCTAAAAAACTGTGAGCTAGCTCACACCAACTCAGCTTAGAGGGAACACTGCTCCCCTCTGTGGCTTCTCTGATGCTGTTGAAGAGTGCCACTCTGACTGAATCTCTTTCCACACTCTGAGCACTCAAAAGGTTTCTCCCCTGTGTGGGTTCGTCGATGCTTCTGAAAACTGCCGCTGTCACTGAATCTCTTTCCACACTCTGAGCACTCAAAAGGTTTCTCTCCTGTGTGGGTTCTGTGATGCTGATGAAGGTGGCCACTCAGACTGAATCTCTTTCCACACTCTGAGCACTCAAAAGGTTTCTCCCCTGTGTGGGTTCTTCGATGCTGTTGAAGAGTGCCACTGTGACTAAATCTCTTTCCACATTCTGAGCACTCAAAAGGTTTCTCCCCTGTGTGGGTTCTTCGATGCTGTTGAAGAGTGCCACTGTGACTAAATCTCTTTCCACATTCTGAGCACTCAAAAGGTTTCTCCCCTGTGTGGGTTCTTCGATGCTGTTGAAGAGTGCCACTGTGACTAAATCTCTTTCCACATTCTGAGCACTCAAAAGGTTTCTCCCCTGTGTGGGTTCTTCGATGCTGTTGAAGAGTGCCACTGTGACTAAATCTCTTTCCACATTCTGAGCACTCAAAAGGTTTCTCCCCTGTGTGGGTTCTTCGATGCTTTTGAAGACTGCCACTGTCACTGAATCTCTTTTGATGCTTTTGAAGACTGCCACTGTAACTGAATCTCTTTCTACACCCTGAGCATTCAGAAGGTTTCTCCCCTGTGTGGGTTCTTCGATGCTTTTGAAGATTGCCACTGTCACTGAATCTCTTTCCACACTCTGAGCAGTGAAAAGGTTTCTCCCCTGTGTGGGTTCTCTGATGCTGTTGAAGGTGGCCACTCTGACTGAATCTCTTTCCACACTCTGAGCATTCAAAAGGTTTCTCCCCTGTGTGGGTTCTTTGATGCTGTTGAAGATGGCTACTCTCACTGAATCTCTTTCCACACTCTGAGCATTCAAAAGGTTTCTCCCCTGTGTGGGTTCGTCGATGCTTCTGAAGACTGCCGCTGACACTGAATCTCTTTCCACACTCTGAGCACTCAAAAGGTTTCTCCCCTGTGTGGGTTCTTCGATGCTTTTGAAGACTGCCACTGTCACTGAATCTCTTTCCACACTCTGAGCACTCAAAAGCTTTCTCCCCTGTGTGGGTTCTGTGATGCTGTTGAAGGTTGCCACTCTGACTGAATCTCTTTCCACACTCTGAGCATTGAAAAGGTTTCTCCCCTGTGTGGGTTCTTCGATGCTTTTGAAGATTGCCACTGTCACTGAATCTCTTTCCACACTCTGAGCAGTGAAAAGGTTTCTCCCCTGTGTGGGTTCTGTGATGCTGTTGATGGTGGCCACTCCGACTGAATCTCTTTCGTCGATGCTTTTGAAGACTGCCACTGTCACTGAATCTCTTTCCACACTCTGAGCAGTGAAAAGGTTTCTCCCCTGTGTGGGTTCTGTGATGCTGTTGATGGTGGCCACTCCGACTGAATCTCTTTCGTCGATGCTTTTGAAGACTGCCACTGACACTGAATCTCTTTCCACACTCTGAGGACTCAAAAGGTTTCTTCCCTGGCATGTGCTGATGATCATCCTCTGCTGGAAAAAATAGAGTGATCCTGTTAGCACTTGGGTGGGCCGGCAGAATTCGCACCTTTGGCACCAAGGAAAGATCGTTACCCAGAAAAACCACATTCTCATAGTTCTCCAGCATGACTTCCCTGTACAGAGCTCTTTGGCCCGGATCCAGCAGGGCCCATTCTGCCTCTGTGAAATCAATGGACACGTCCTCAAAGGCGGAAGTTGACAGGTTGCTCGTATCTGTGCGCCCAACCATTTGCAGCCTTGATCCGTGCCCTTCATGGCTCATTAAAGCGGGCCACGAGGGGTTTCGAGGTGCCCTGAGGGAGATTATCTACAAGTCCCTCTCTGAGGGGCGGTTCTCAGGGGTACTCCAGGAAGCAATGGTCCGCCCTCTCCTGAAAAAACCAACTCTGGACCCGGCCGAATTGGCCAACTATTGGCCGCTTTCCAATATTTGGGCAAATTAATTGAGAGGGTAGTGGCGATACAGCTACAGGGCTACCTGAATGACGCTTCCACCTTTGACTCCCCCCCCCAAATCAGGAAAAATATGAAATTTTTTTCCACACCCCTAATATGCTGCAAAAAGAGGTGCCATCTAATACCACATATTTCATGCATTAGATAGCACAGTTTGATTTCCTTGTTTTTCTGTAGATGAGCTGCAGGAACATTACTGTTTAGTGATGTTTTATTTTAAAATCGTTAACAAGCCTTTATCTCTGGCTTGGGTGATGGCCACAGCTCTGGCCTCTGTTGCCCCGGGGCAAGTACACGCACATGAACAACACATGAAGCTGAGTTATACTGAATCACACCCATGGTCCATTGAAGTTTGGTGAAGTGGTTAAGTGTGCGGACTCTAATCTGGGAGAACCGGGTTTGATTCCCCACTCCTCCACTGACAGCTGCTGGATGACCTTGGGCAAGCCATAGTTCTTGCACAGCTGTCCTTGAAAAAGAGCAGTTTCTGTCAGAGCTCTCTCAGCCCCACCTACCTCACCGAGTGTCTGTTGTGTGGAGGGGAAGGGAAAGGAGATTGTAAACGAATCTGAGACTCCTCCGGGTAGTGAAGGGCGGGGTATAAATCCAATCTCTTCTTCTTCTTCTTCTCTCTTCAATATTGTCTACTCAGTCCGGCAGAAGCTCTCCAGGGACTCAGGCAGAGGTGTTTCACATCACCTCCTACCTAAACCTTTGAACAGGAGGTGCTGCCAGGGTTTGAACCTGGGACCTTCGGCATGCCAAGCAGATGCTCTGCCAGGGAGCCACAGCACCCACCCCTCCCCAGTAGCGGGACAAGCCTCAAAACTGTGAATAGCTGATCAGTATTCTGATTCACACCTCATCCAATGGCAGCAATTCGCACCTTTGGCACCAAGGAAAGATCCTTACCCAGAAAGGCCACATTCTCATAGTTCTCCAGCATGACTTCCCTGTGCAAAGCTCTTTGTCCCGGATCCAGCAGGGCCCACTCTGCCTCTGTGAAATCAATGGACACCTCCTCAAAGGAAAAGGGACCCTGAAGGAAAAAGCAGATTCCCTCGTCAAGAGATCACGCCAGTCAGAGACCGGACACGGGAAGGGAGTGGTCTGGGGAGGGACGGGATGTCAGGCTTGGGGTGGGTCAAGGGAACGACGCTCAGATGCCTTGCAGAAACTGCAGTCACAACTGCTCCCCTGAGAAAGGAGGGAGGACCCGGGCTGTCCCTCCTGCTCCTCTCACTGTGGGAGCAAAATCAGCGAGCCTGGGGCATTTCTGTGAAACAGCCTAGATTAGCTGAGGCCTCTCTGTTGGGTTCCTCTCCCATGAGCCTTTGCAGGCTTAGCTACTGTCATCTCTCAAAGCTGCTCTCTAGCCTGACGAGGCACTTTGCTCCAAAAAGAATGGTTTCCATTTCTCTGGGTCTGCCATTTCACCCTCATACTGTGTCAAAGACGCCTAGTGAGAAGGTTTGTCGCTTCCGACCAGCAACATCCTTGACTGTCTAGGGTAGCTTGGGTATGAGTTCAAGGTGAATATTGTTCTCTTTAATTTTGATATTCTTCTTCTAAAGGTGTGTTACTCCACGTGGGCTGACCCCTTGGGTACTGAGGGTATAAATTGTTGAAGACTTCTTTGCTCTGGGCTGGTCTTCAATCAGCTCCCTGTGAGCTCTTGTTGACTAGACCAGGGGAGCTCTGTATTTCACAGGAGTCGTGCACTAGGTTTGTGTTGAAGTATTCTATGCTGAATGTGGAAATGTTATGTTTTCATCCTAAAAGATGTGTAAGTGCTAAAGTGCTTTTTGTCCTTAGGAATCTTACATTGTAAGTAACCTGGTTTTGTTTGAGAACTCTGGTCTCTCTCTGTGTTGATTCGGTCACTCCCTTCCCAGCCTCCACTCAACCAACAAGAGAACTAAGGGGGTCCCAGGGAAACAGTCCAGAATCCCGTAACGCTAATCTCTCGTACCTGGACTGGAGGTACGGCAGCTGTTTCCACACCTCTGAAAAGATGACGCCTCAACAGCATCTCTTCGCTGCCTGTTCATGAGACAAAGGAGGAAGGGAGTTTGCTTGCTTGTTCCCTGTTTCACAGATCCACTCTTCCCACTGTTGAGAAACCTCACCCTGTGTACATACAAAACGTTTTTAAATACTTTTTACTGAATTCTGGGGGAGGCAGAAGAGAAGCACACGGTGCCCATTGAGCCTCAGGGATTAGAAATGTGGCCAGCATATTTCAGACTTCTATGAGACCTGTTTGCTCTGTGGGGAGGGAAAGACGTCACACAACACGTCACCATCCCATTCGGAACCAGACGTGACTGAAACGCATCTGGAGACACGAGGGGAGTATGAATGAGTTCTCAGGGTGTCTCTTGGCACGCTCACTTCCCAACCTGGTTTTCAGCCAGACACCCCATCGACATGACACCACATCTGTCCCAAGCCCCTCCCCAGAGCTCTTGGGGGTGCCAGACCCACCGCCTGCCGTCCGTCTCCCAGCATCCTTCTTTCCCACAGCGGCCCCCCAGAGGCCCCTTTAAGCACAGGCACAGAAGCCAAATTACCAGAATATTATTGGCCCCTCTAGGAACTGGTTTTCAGCGCTCCGCTACCCCAGAAGTTGGAGGCTCCCTTTATCCACCAGGCAGAATAGATGTGCCGAGGTTTGTCCAGCTTCCCTCTTCCCCTCCCCCCGGCAACTTGATTTCTTTATCCACCAGTCTGAATAGTTCTGTTGAAGCTTGTCTACCCCCCCCCCCCCTTTTCCCTCTCTTTTTTTTAAAAAAAGATGTGAACTTTTTAAATAATGGCATAAATTGCCCTCCAGGAATCTGTCTAATCTCCTTCTGGAGGCATCAGAGTTAGTGAAGAAGAAGAGATGGGATTTATACCCCCGCCCTTCACTACCCAAAGGTGTTTCAGAGCAGGTTGCAAACTCCTTTCCCTTCCCTTCCCCACAACAGGCACCCTGTGAGGTAGGTGGAGCTGAGAGAGCTCTGACAGAAACGGCTCTTTTTTCAAGAACAGCTTGTGTCAGAACTACAGCTTGCCCAAGGTCATCCAGCCAGGTGCAAGTGGAGGAGGAGTGGGCGATCAAACCTGGTTCTCCCAGATTAGAGTCCACGCACTTAACCACTACACCAGACTGGCTCTAGTGGACATCAAGTGCTGCAAATTAACTCCTTGTTTTGTGTAGAACTATTTATTTTTCTCCTGACCTGAACACAATGGGTCCTTACCAAAGGAGAGGGGATCTTGGGCACGCTCCATGACTTGAGCCCTCTGCCCTTGCTCTGAAGAACCTCCTTCCGCCTCAGGGACTGTGGCTTTGTTCTTCAGGGATGGTGCCCACATCTGAAA